AAAATGCACGAGAAATGCATGAGTGCCGAGCGATCCCTAAGGGTGGCAGAAGTAGTCCCACAGTCCATGATTCTTGGAGGAGGCAGATCCTGGGATAGAAAAGGATGGGGGAGCTGGGCCTGAGACTGTCAGGAGGACCCTTCCCTCTGTTTCTGTCTCCGAATTTCCTTTTCCCACTATCTACTAGGCAAAGGGGTAGGGGGCTTTCACCTCATGCCCTCCCTGTTTGCTCAGGTCAGAACTCCTTTACTTAAAATGCTATGATCAAGTCAGCTAGGCTTGGCTTTTGATAAGATAAATGGGAAAAAATAGAAAATTGTTTCTGCTTTTAAATCTATTTTCATGGTGCTCATGTTTCTAAAGAGGTTCAGGAAGTCAGCTTGGCGATTCAGACAGGAGAGATGACATCTTTAGTTCAGGCAGTACCTGCCCTTTCTTTCCTTTGAGCAAATCAATCAATCAATCAATCAATAATGTTTCTTGGGAGGTAAAGAACAGGCAACAAGATTTGAGAGATAAGAGGTGCTGATTAGACAATTTAGTTACACTTTTGCAAAATACTATATCCCAGAACCCCTTATATGACTTAAAAAGTCTTCTTTCCTCCCAGACCTACCACTCACCCATCCCAACATGGCAGAAAAAGGTGCATCATTATAGAGGTTTCTGCCAAATTAAAATAGCCAGCTTTCAAGCCCTCCTCCCTGCCAAGGCCCCCCTTCCGTCTCCTTGCAGCTCTGACATTGGTTCTAGAATTGTGCTGCTGTGGCCTCTAAAAGTACTATGGACACTGGCTGGCTGGCTGAGCTCCCTGGGAAGTCCTGAGGTGTCCCAATGGGGCTGCTCTCTCAGGCTGTATTCGGGCTCGGCAGCAGAGCTCTTGACACTTCGTCTCCCAACTCTCCCACAGGTTCTAACCCTGGCTTTACCACTTACTAGGGACACTCAGCAGTTTTCCTAATGCCCTGACCTGAGCTCCGTATGGGTCAAGGGTGAATGATGACAGTCACATCACACATGCATGTCACTCTCCCAAATTCAACATTCACCTGAATCATTTACAACACTGAGGGAGGGAGGGAGAGAGAATGTGATTGCACTCAGAAAGAGTGTATATACCTGAGGAAGACTGAAAAGGGAGTGAGAAGCCAAATTCCTCGGAGAGGGTGAACTGCTCTCCTTTCTTGGTTTATTCATTCATTCAGTAAATATTTACTGTGCCACTACAGGCATGGATAAAACAGACAAAAGTCTCTGCATTTATGGAGCTCACTTCTTAATGAGAACTAATTTTCATGCTTAAAAATACAATTCTTATTTATCATTCAACATGGTGCCAACTACATGCCAACCAACCTCTTCATTTGCTGGCCAACAGCTCCAATGCTGGAGGGAGAGCTCGCTATGAGTGATTGAAGGGATGGTCACAGCTGATTTTTGACTCCAGGTGATCTTCACTTTCTGCATTGCACTTAGATCCCTCTGAACCTCCACCCTCCCTGGGCTATAAGTTGAGATGCCACTGTCTGTGTGCAGGAGCATGTGAGGAATCAATGTAATGTTGTGTGGGGGATGTGGGAGGTATGAGCTGGCAATTTCAGCCACAGCCAATGATGTTGCCAAGTAGCACTTTGAACTTTATTAATGACCCCACACCAGAAGCTGCTTGGCCACTTCCAGGAAACCCCTCAGAGAGCACTGGCCTTCCCCCAGGTGGGATGGGTGCCTATGGCTGCAGACACCTTGGAAGCAGAGCACTGAAAAGGCTGGGGAGGGTCAGCTGCAGTCCACGCCAGCGTCTTCATTGTGGTTGCAGTTGTGAGAGCCCCAGCTATTCTTGTTGCAGTTCCATAGGGTCAACTCTGTCCCTCGACATGCAACATTATCCAGCCAGATATCCCCAGAGCCTAGATTTAGAGAAAGCAAGGAGGAAGTGGGGAGTGAGGTTAGGGTCAAAGCACAGTGTCCCCTTTGTGTTTAGGAGTTCCCATGTGGGGGTAGACTGCCAATTTCTCTCACACCCACTCAAGCCCAAGGTGCTGATTATTGCCTTCATCTGCTTTCTATCCTTTGACAAAAGTCTCATCCAAATGTTTAATTCTTTATCCATGCATGATTTGAATGGTGTCTCCTAGGGGTCTCCTCCCTGCTAATTCACTACAGCTGTACTCATCTCCTCAAATGCCTTTTTAGCCAGGTCCCTCTCTGGCTCTAAAGCATTCACACGTTCCTCAGCCCCACTTTTTTCTGATACAATTGATTTCAGATCAAGAGCTTGGAGGAAAGTTGTTGGGTTATTTGATTACAATAATTTATACTATACTGTGACAATCTATAGAGGCTTAATCTACAGAGGAGAATGTGTATTTTAAAAGAGTTTTACAATCCTGGACTCAGATTAAAAACGAGGTGTGCACTTTGGAGAGGAGAAAGGGCAGAGAGCATTTGAGGGTGAAGCAGGAGAAAGGGGCCTAGAGTCCATGCCATGTCAGCTCTTAGGGCCAAAGAAATAGTCTCAGCCTGGGGACTTAACTCCTGTGTTGGAAGTTTGAACCTTTTTGCTGAAAGACACAGGCTAAGTCTCTAGCACCCCAGGGCATCATTCCAAAACTGATTTTAGGAAGTCCCTGCCCTGATTTGCTTTCTCTTCCCTTCACACCTTCTTCTTAAAGATGATCACAGCATGGACAGCCCAGGTCTCTAGTTTCCAGGTAGGTGGAATGCACACCTGTGTTTGCCTGCCCTGTGTCTTTTCTCCATTCTTCTAGCACCAGCACCTCAGATGTCATCGGAGAGCCATGCCTCCCAAACACCCCTGGCCAGGTGGCATTTTGGCTCCAGGGCTGATCACACATTAACCCAAGCCAGGTCAGCCAAAGCCTCAACCAAGCCTTTGCTGTCACTCTTGGGGAAGAAAGATCATCTTCCTCCTGAGGCTGCCAAGCTGGAAGGATGTAAGCTTGGGGTCCTGAGCTGCAGAACTTTTCATTTCAGTTGCTTGAGCCAGTCCTTTTCTTTAAACTCAAACCACACTGAGTCACCTGCAACCAAAGGCTGTCAACACCCCACCAGGGAGAGAAAGCCTACATCAGCCCCTCAAGGAAACAAGATGCTGATGGAGGGCTCACTTACCAGCTCCCACATTGAAAAGGGCCTTTCCCACGGAGTAGCCCATCATGCGGCAGAAGACAGTGGCATCTGCATTGTCCCAGTCATCATCACAAATTGTTCCCCATTTACCGTTATAGTAAATTTCAGCCCTGCCTCGGTTCAGAGAGCCAACAATCCTGACAGGAGCTAGGGATGCGCCTGGGTGAAAAAACACAAGTGGGAGAGGTGAGGAAGGCAGCCTAGGGCTTTGTGTGAATGCGGGCTCCGCCTTTTCATTTTTGGAAGGTCTATGGTTAGGGAAAAGAAACCCCTCTGCTTGGCAGTCACCTGAGTCAGAAAGATCCCACATTATGGCACCAACATGACCTGGCAAGCAGCCTCTGTTCCTTGGGGCTTGCAGGCATGATATCATGGGAGCAGGTGCCTCTGTGGATAGTTTTGGAAATCCAGATGACCATATATTGCCTTGTGTCATGGAGAGGAAAAAAAGGAAAGTCGAGGAATAAAAGAAGAAAGCAAAAAAGAAGGGGAGAGAAGGAAAGAAGAAGGGTAAAAGCAAGGGAGGGAGAGAAAAAGGAAAGAAGGGAGGGAGGGAAGAAGAGAGGAAGAGAAGGAAGGAGGAAGGGAGGGAGAGAGGGAGGAAAACTGTGCCACTGTATGTTATGAGCGGGCTTATTCAAAGAAGGAGCCTGTTAACTTTCCTATAAATGAGGGATTTCTCTGAGAAGCGAGGCCTCTCCCCCTACCACACATACAGTTTTCAAGAACAAAACTGACTCTAAAGCACAAATTAAAGAGAACAGAAACAGCAATTACCTTTTTCACCTTTTTCTCCCTTTACTCCTTGCACCCCAGAAGAGCCTGTCATGGAGAGGAAAACCACATGATTTGAAGGAAACCAAGCCAGGACCCCCTCGCCCTCCTTTGCCAGCATTGGGGAGGAAGGCGAAGGGGTGGGGAGGAGGTAAAATTCTCTCCCCAGCTTTGCTGGTGACGTAGCATCATGGGCATCGATGGTTAAGCATGAAGAAACGGGCGCAAGCCATAGCAGGAAGGATTTAAACCAGGTTAATGAGAGATGTTTAATAGGTGAGCGACGTGGAGTGGGAAGGATCTCCTTCACGGGAAGATCCAATCGGTCATGGAAACTGTCCAGAGTGGCCGGGGGCACAGCTGGCTGTGCTTCGAGCACGTGTTCGTGTGTCTGCCTGTGTGAGTGCCCAGCTTTGCCTTATTCACTTCTGGAGGCTCGGTGCCAAGGCCAATCCCACCTCAGAACTTATCCACTGAACCAACAGACCTCGACCCCTCTTGTTCTGAAAACCCCCAACCACCTTACAACAGGGCCTCCCCTTCAATCCCACGAAAAAGAAACAGGGGCCTTACCTTTCTCTCCTGGGTGTCCCTTTTGGCCAACTGGTCCAGGTACACCCTTGGGGCCTGCCAGGCCTGGGCTTCCCCTTTCTCCCTTCATGCCTGCAGGGCCTGGAGAGGAAAGAGACCACTTCATCAGATGCTCTGCTCTGCTTTCCAAGGAGGGCCAAGGGCCACGCTGTTTAACGAATGAGTTGTCCTTAACTAGCAGGCTTTACCCCATGGATGGGCTCTTCGGATGTTACCATTATCTTCGGTTCAAATGGGGGCAAATGTGCTACTCTGATCTCCCGACTCCCATTAAAAGCTGGTTGAGAACATACAGGTGAAAATTGCTGAGAGGATTCCAAATGCTGTTGGTTCTCATCTGACTATATAACTGTGCGGAAGTTCTAGCCATTGTGGGAGAATTTGCTAGAATGTTTCTAGGCCTCAGTCTCTCCTTCGATAGGTTAAAATAGGAATAGAATATGCAGTTCATGAGGAAGAAAGATTGCTCACACAGTTTGTCTAAGAAGTGTTGCTTTAGCACTCCTTAGGGTTGGGCTATTGAGAAGACTAGAAATGCTGTGTGGAAAATGCCAAACTCAGTAACCGAGTATGAGCAAGGGCTTAGTGAACGAGGATGGTGATCACATCCAGTGAGAAGAACGAGGAGGAAGGGAGGGGCTTGAGGCACCCAAGGGGAGATGAGCTAGACCAGAGCAGATATGGGGAAGCAGACAGAGACCTTGCAACCAACCTGAGATTGGAGAGGAAGGCTGCACAGCCCCACCTGGTCACCAGCTCTCCTGACATTTTTTACCTTCCTACCACCATTAGCCCCCACCCCTCTCCGTACATCCCTCAGGTCAGTGAGTTCCTGTCATTCCCAGGTTTTCCAGGAGAAGAATCTGAGGTTTGATTGGCAGAGCCCTGGAGTCTTCGCCTCAGATGGTCTTGATCCCGGGCCACTTTGGGGGAAGGTCACAGCGGTGTAGTCAAAGTCAACAAGACCGCCCTCTGAGCATGAGCCTTTCCAGTCATCATTCTGAAGAATTAAAATGAAGCCAGCCCTTTACCTGGAACTCCTGATTCTCCTTTTGTTCCTTTTTGTCCTTGAAGTCCTAAGATCAAAATACAAAAAAAGGGAGAAGGTAATAAAACTTGGATATTAGACACTTTTAATCTTAGACAACCTCTACCTTTTGTCTGATTAATGCAGACGGAAAGATACATTGGTTCTTCACGATTGTTTAAAGCCTCTTCAGCGCAGCATAAAAGGAGACAGACTGTTGATAAATGGTGATCCATGTGTTGGAATGAAATCAAAATATAGCGCATGAAAGCCTGAGTTAGACCCTGGACTTACTGGCTGGTCTTCCTCGCCAGTGATAGCCTGATCTGATGTCTAAATCCAATTCCATCCCTTCCTGTTGCATGTTATTGGAAAACAATTGAGAGATATTTGAAAATAAAGTAATCTCTATTTCCAAAAGACTATGGAGGGGACTCAGTGACCACCAGAAACTTTGGGAGCCCTCACCCATAGTAGATGTTCAAGATCTTTGCTGGTTTATTTCATTGTGGCCCCTAGTATGGCTAAAGATTTACTATGTGGCTAAAGGGTCTCATATCCAGAAAATGGAAAAATAATCACTGCAATTATTGATGGATACTATTTGTAGTTCCCATGTGAAAGATCCTCTCTTCCTTCCTTCCTTCTTTCCTTCCTTCCTTCCTTCCTTCCTTCCTTCCTTCCTTCCTTCCTTCCTTCCTTCCTTCCTTCCCTTCATTCATCCTTTCATTCACCAACTTCCATGGAATGTCTCCTGTTCCCAACATCAGGCTGGGTCACTGTGGGATAATAATTTATTGGTTTAGAAACGTCATGGTCTCTCGATTTTAAGTGCCAGTATTGGTTTTAATTCAGAGAAAGGGGACTCTCCAAGACAATTACACAAACTTGGGGAAATGAAAGATCATTATTAATGTGAGGTAATGTAATGTAAATTCCTATTCCCGTAACAATAGGAATGCAGACAGCTATTTATGAGGGGCTGTGCTCATCACCGTGTCTTTGATTGGTATCCCTCTCCTCCATGGTGCAAAGGCCCATCCTTTTGGTGATAACTAGAAACAACAATTACCCTCATTGTCAATTGCCTGGGAAAAGTTTCTACCTGAGGAAGTTCCTGCTTCCCAGTTCCTGACTTTCCTGAGCATCTACTGTGTACTGGTCAATGGAGGACAGGTGAGAGGCCTGGCAGGTCTTTTCAGGACACCTTCTTGGAATACTGAGCCAGGGAAGTCCTGGCTCCTGGAAGCCTTTCAGATGTCTTGCCTGAGGCCAAGCACTGTCTGAGGAGTAGGATCAGAGGGCCAAGGAGCTGCAAGCTGCCACAACACACCTTGACACCAAAGGAAGCAGGAAGCACTGGAAGGATCTGAGAGGGCAACTGCTTCAGCCCCTTATTTTAGGGATGGGGACAGGGCTGGAGCTCAGAGAGCTTCTTCTAGGAGCTGAAGGTGCCTTTGAGGCCAGATCCTGGCAAGCAGGTCCCAGTTCACCCAGACCTTTTGTTTGTGCTCTGGTCCCTCTGTCTAGAATGCCTCACCCTATTGCTCCCCTGGAGAATTCCGATCAAGACTGTAAAACCTGAAGAAGAGGGGAAAATGGCAGCTGTGAGGAGGGCTCCCTGAGTTCTCCCCTGGAAATCGCCGCAATTTGAACTGCTGTAACTCATCAAACGGACCTGTACTCATCACACAAAGCAGCTAAGAGACTCACATGACAATTATTGGAAGGTGGGCAGGCCCGGCGAGTGGGGGAAGAGGGAAGCGAGACGCGGAGCAGCAGCCCGCACCCGCGGCTGCTGAGACACGGGGACCTGTGCCTCGTGACCCACCTAAAGAGCAGCAAGAGTGTGACAATTTGCAGTCTGAGGCAGAAGCCTCGGGCCAGGCGAGTAGGGGAAGAGAGAGAGGAGACATGCATGCAGAGGCGTGGTCCGCATCCTTGGCTGCGGCACCACAGGACCCCAGAGACAGAGCGGAGAGCGCTGTACTGGCAGGGCGGACTCAGTCCCTGCGCCCACCCAGTCCCGCCGGGAGTGCAACAGGAGCTCCTGCAGCACACAGACTCTTAGGCAGAAGCCTCAAACCGGGCAAGTGGGGGAAGAGGGAGGCGAGACTCGTGGATGAGATGCAGCCCACACCCGCAGCTGCGGAGACGCAGGACCCCAGGAGGTAGAGCAGATAGCTTCGCAGCGGCAGGGTGGGCTCAGTCCCTGGCCCCTGCGGTCCCCTCCAGGAGCGCAGCAGGAGCTCGGCTGGAGCGTCTGAGGCGGAAGCCTCAGCTCAAAATGGCGGTGGGACTTTTTTTTTTTTCTCTTTTTTCTGGGCAGAAAGCAAAAAACAACTGCATAGATAAGAACCCACCCCTACCCTCCCTCAGAAACCTTGGCCCCCACCATGCCAGAGTCTTAAGCTGACCCCTGAATGGAGGAGTAGGGTCAGATTACAGAGGGGCTCCTACTCCCAGGGGGCTGAGAAACTCCACATGAGAAGAGGCTGAGGAGTGTGAGCCTACCTACCCCGCCCCCACCTCTCCTACATGGCTTGGGAGGCAGGACAACTTCAGCTGCTGAGTCGAGTCACTTTCAGGACCCCAGCAGGTGGCTTTTAGCAGCTCTGAAATCTCACACCCCCCACAGCCTCCAGCAGACAGAGTGCCAGAAGATGCACATTGAGCCTTCTGGCTGCGCAGCACTCAGCGTGCCTCTGGGCAGGCGAGAGCAGAAACGGCATTGACTTTGTAAAAACTACCAATCACATCTCAAACCCCACTCATCTAAAATAGACCTGTATTGCCAGGGTCACTCTAGGCGCCAGGTGGCCTGCTCTGCCCCAACAAGACGCAGGGGAGTTTTTGTATAGCAGAGGACAGCCTGGAGAGAGCTTGGTGGACTTTAGCCAAGACTGGCACTGGTTGTTTTTTTGTTTTTTGTTTGTTCGGGGTTTTTTGTTGTTGTTATTGTTTTGTTTTTTGGGGGGTGTTTTGCAGTTTTTTCTTTTTTGGTTGCTTGTTTTGGTTGTTTTTGTTTTTTTCTACTTCATTGTTATCATTTTTAGTTTTCAATATAGGCACATATATAGGTGTATATATGTGGATATATATGTCCATATATATGGGTGTGTAGATGTATATATATATATTTTTTTCTCCTTCTTTCCTTCTTTCTTTTCTACCCTCTCTCCCTCCCTTCTTCTTTCTTTTCACTGCTCTGCTGTTCCTCCTTTTTCCATTTTTCTGCAATTTTTTTTTGGGGGGGTGTTGCTATTTCATTTCTCGTGTTTATTCTGTCTTTTATTCTATTATATTTTATGTTATTTTTTGTTTTTTGTCCTTCATTTTTTTGTTGTTTTGTTTCTGTTTGTTTGTTTTCTTCTTTTGCACGTTTGATATTTCTGTACATGTTGAGTGCAGGTCATTGTTTGTTTTTTACATGTGGGAGTATCTGGTTTCCTTTGGTGACTGTTGTAGTTGTGCTTGTTGATCTGTTTTGCACTAAAATTGCTCTGCAGCAGGGCCCAGCCAAAGAGGCACAAGAATCATCACACCCAGAGGCCAAGTTTAGATAAAACCAGAGCATTATGGGATTTGACTTACAAGAGTAACACTCAAAGGGAAATCGCTACAGACACAAGAGCCCATAGGGGCCAAACCTCATCGTAGGGTTCAATCCTCACATAGCAACTCATAAACTGTGGACACAGCTAATCCTCATAGCTAGTCAGCCTGGGAGTCAATCCCACCTACTGACAAGACAAAAGCAATCAAAACTTGACTTCAACAGGAGAAGACACACAACACAAGGAACACCTCTTGTACACACGCACAGGAGAATACGGAGACTGAGTAATTCAAATATAAAGGACACATACTACATAAGTCCACCCAGAAAAGACTGAGAGACCTAGGAGATCTACCTAATACATCGAAGCAAGCACAAAGAGTAAGCCAGAATGGGGAAACAAAGAAACACATTCCCAATAAAAGAACAGAAGAAACCTCCTGAATCAGTGGAACTGGAGGATATAGAGGTAAACAACATATCAGAAACAGAGTTCAGAACACTGATGATTAGAATGTCCAAGGAAATTAATGAGAATATAAAGAAGGATAGAGAAATCATGAAAACAACCAGCTAGAAATAAAGAATACAATTACTGAAATAAATAACAAACTCAATGGAATTACTAGCAGATTGGATGAAGCAGAGGATAAATCAGTGACTTAGAAGACAAGATAGCAGAGATCATCCAAGCAGAACAAAAGAGAAAAAATAATAATAAACGCTGAAAATAGTTTAAGAGATCTGGGTGATCAACATCAAGCTCAACAACATGCGCATCATAGGAATACCAGAAGGAGAAGAGAGGGAGCAAGGGATCGAGAACATATTTGAAGTAATAATGTCTGAAAACTTCCCTAACCTGGCAAAAGAAATTGACATACAAGCACAGGAGGTGCAGAGAGTTCCAACCAAGATGATCCCAAATAGGCCCACACCAAGACACATTATAGTGAAAATGGCAAGGGTTAAAGACAAAGACAGATTCCTAAAAGCAGCAAGGCACAGGCAGCAAGTTACTTACAAGGGCACCCTCATAAGAATATCAGTCGATTTTTCTACAGAAACTTCACAGGCCAGAAGGGAGTGGCAGGAGGTTTTCAAAGTGATGAAAAACAAGGCCTACAACCTAGATTGCTTTATCCAGTAAGGTTATCATTTAAAATTCAAGGAGAGATAAAGAGCTTTCCAGAAAACAATAAGCTAAAGGAATTCATTACCACCAAGCCAGCATTGCAGGAAATGTTAAAAGGGTTTCTTTAAGCAGAAGAAAGAGAAAAACAACCTAACTAATGAAGACCAGGAACACAAATAGCAAAATGGCAATAACTACACACCTATCAATAATCACATTAAATGTAAATGGATTAAATACTCCAATCAAAAGCCGTAGGGTGGCTGAATGGATAAGAAAGCAAGACCCTTGCATATGCTGTATACAAGAGATTCACCTCAAATCAAAAGACACATACACGCTGAAAGTAAAGGGATGGTGTAAAATATTTAATGCAAATGGAACTGAGAAAAAA